CAGTGCCTCACCACCCTCTCCGGGAAGAGCTTCTTCCTGATATCCAATTTAAACCTATCCTCTTTCAGCTCAGAAGTGTTACACCTTGTCCTGTCACTACAGGCCCTTGTAAAAAGTCCCTCCCAGCTACCTTGTAGGCTCCTTGAGGTACTGGAAGGCTGCAATAAGGTCTCCAAACATGCAATCAGTGTAGAAGCTAAACAGTTACAGTCAGAAGCAGCATATCCCAGCTCTGACCCAGAGATGGACAGACAGGCAGACTGCATCCTAACCTAATCCAATTCAGGAAAGGGGCCGTTTTTGTCCCTGATTTGCCCATCCGCGTGCAACACAGCCTTCCCTTCTCTGCTCGTTTTAGTTACAGGACGACCTTCTCACACTGGCATGGCTTCTGCAGCCTCACCGCGAGTCTGTCGGCATCTGATTCGGTGAAAAAATTTTGAGCTTAAAAATTAGAATTCAGAATACTATCAGATATTTAAAAATCCACAGGCTTAGGAAACAGGCTTTATTTAGTTAGTGAAGATAATAGGATTTACAGCATAGTAAGCTCCACCCTACCCTTGAATACTGCCATGCTCTGCAAGTCATAAATTCTCTTTCCTATGGGAAATAATAATTCTTTTTGTAGCCTATCAGGTCCTGTAGTTTACAAACATCATATAGAATACGTAGTCCGTATGCTGTAACAACTAACGGTCCAACAGTTATCATATCTGGTTCAACTCAGAGGAACAAGTCTCAGTTTAGGTTTAACTGTGGCTATTTCTGCTTCCATTTCAGACTTAAAGAAAGGTTTGGATGCCAGAAAGGTCACCAGTTTTTCTCCATCTGTATGTGAAGTTTAATACAATATATTACCGCTCCTGGAAAACCTATTTTACTAGATTCTTGTAGATAAAGTGAAAAATCAATTAAATACTCCTACTCCACTCCTGTAACAGCACTTCAGCCTCGCATTGTTATGTCAATCACCACTCCTGCTTGGAGAAATTGTCCGCATTACCACTGCTTGGTAAGCTGAATAATTGAGCAAGAACGTCCTTTTCCAAAACTTAAAGCAAAAAGAACACTTTCTTCTGTAGCCAATACTATGGGATACAAGAAATTAATTTCCAGTACATATTCCAGAATAGTGTTGAGCCTTAATAAACTGTACAGTCAGCTGCAGGCACCACCAGTTTATAGCACATTAGTATTTATTATAGTTTCCCTCAAAATATTCACATATTTTCCCGGAAAAAAAAAAAATGTATAGACATTACACTGGAGAAATGCATTATGTCTCCATCAAGCCAATACCTGGGCCCTCAAAAACACTATCTGTGCCAAAGAGGACTGTTCAGTATTTAATCTTTACCTGACACTTGCAGATCAATAAACTTCGCTGCCCCTCCCCAGCCAAGGTTTCACTTTAAAATCCCTCTTTGCTCATTTATCTACTGTATCCGCTGAGGCCAAGAAACCTATTTTCTAACATGCAGGAAAACAAACATTCTCAAACTGAAATAGACACATCATCAATAACACACAAGTGTTTCCAAAATGCTACTTTCTGAAGAGCTGGATGCCCCTCTCTGCACAGGAATATGGCCTGGGAGCTACCACTGCCCCCACTGATGACACCCCAGACAAAAAACACCCGGAAATTCCAGTTCCAGCTCATCCTGTTCAATTTACGTCCTTCATTTCCTGCCCTACTTATCGGTTCCAGCCTTGCAGTTAAGAAATATTTTATTTGTTCCTCACAGCTGTACAGCTGGGGTTCTGCTGAATCCCATACGATGCCCACATTAGCCATATCTGATCATCCAGCTCTTGTCTTTCACCAGTCACATCGGATTCTCGCCTCTTCAGCTAAATTGTTATCAGTGTGAGTCTTAAAGCATTGTCTAACGCTTTACTAAGCTTACCAGAGCAGTATCAGACACCTTCTTTTCCTGTAAAATAAGCATTGTATTGCATTAAACAGAAATCGCGTTGCTAAAACAGACATGTCATCAAAAACGTTCATGAGCCTGAAGCTCTTTCTTTTCTTAGGCTAAGCACTGGCAGGTTTCTGGCTCTCACTTCCACCGAGCTTGCAAGATGCTCCCAAGCTTACCGTTTTAACTTTGGTTTTTGTACTGCGGGCTGCGGTGCAGGATTTGAAAAGGCTGTACTTTTACTGGCTGGCACTGAGTTTTTCTTCGAGTTAGTAACCTGAGCAGGGTGACTGGTAGATGATTTGGGGCTCCTCCTCTTGATTTTCCTTTCTTCCATTTCTTCTGATTTACTGCATCAAGACTAAGTTCTTGTCTTCCAAAGAGAAGAAAAAAAATGTAAGTAACATCCATTGAAACTGGCATTTACAATAAAAGCAAAGGAAAAAACAGGTCACAGGGCATGGAAATCCAGCTTTATAGTTCAAAGATGAGCAGTCACCCATTTCTTCAAACAATCCAGTTTTCAGGAGAAGCCGCCCAGGCCTGCCTGATCAGGAAAACTGGCAGGAATTAAGGCCAACAGGCACCCCCGAATGATCTCAGGCTCCGCGTGCCGTGAATTACTGCTGCAAAACACCAGCACCACTCAAGCCCACGCCAATCGAAACACTGGGTGATATGGGAAACTGGGGAACGGCGGCGTGGCTCATCCCTGCACAACAACCTCCTCCGAAGGGGGAGGAAGCGGCCCTGTCAAAGCTGTTTACGCCGAGTTAACGTGCTCTCGACGGGTGCTGCCCGGTCATGTACACGCTGTATTGCTGCTGCTCCAAAGGCCGTGCCTGGCTGGTACCTAACAGCCTCCTCGCCTGGGAAATCGCCCCCTCCGACACCCCATGCCCCAGGGAGGCGGCACAGGGTCCTGG